ATTTTTACACCAATTTGGTCTTTCCGTTAAAAATTGTGTGACGTGGCATGTTACTTAACAGTTACCAGATGACATGTCATATAATAATATAAAAAGTGATGATGTGGAAAAAAAATAATATAAAAAAATATTATGAAAAATAAAACTTAAATTTTTTTTTCTTTTTTCTTTTTCTTTCTCCTTTCCCTTTCCCTTTCTCTTTCTCCTTCCCCTTGGAACCCAGTAGGCCTGGGTTCCTTCGAACCCACCCAGCCCTGGGTTCGACAAACCCAGGGTTGGGTCCTGGGTTCGTCGAACCCAGGGCCGGGTCCTGGGTTCGTCGAACCCAGGGCCGGGTTTCTTCTCGAACCCAGGCACCTGGGTTTCGTTTGCACCCAGGCGCTGGGTCTCTTCTTGAATCCGGGCACTGGGTTCCTTCGAGAACCCAAGAGCCGGGTTCGTTCGAATCTAGGGGCAAAAAAATTTATGTTTTTTTTTTTTTTTTTGTGGGTTTGGTTGTTTGATTAAGATGAAGAATTGTTGGGTTCGATATTGAATTGATTGTTTGATTGAATTGATTGTGTGAATGAAGGATATTGAATTGATTATTTGATTGAATTGATTGTGTGAATGAAGGAAGTTTTGAGAAAGAAGATGCTGGAGGAAGAAGAAGATGCAAAATTGTAATTTGGTGGGCCCCACTTTTGTTTTTGCGTTGGGTATGACCATGTCATCATTTATCCACATGTACAACTGACGTGGCTTAAATTTTTGATATATCTGTGAGTTAACGGACGATTTTTAATGGAAGGACCAAATCGGGGTAAAAATGATAAACAGTAGGGACCAAATCAGGGATTTTTTTAGTTCAGGGACCAAATCGGGGGTCTGTACAATAATTCAGGGACCAAAAAAAGGTTTTAACCTAAAATAATTGAGGAAACAAAATAAGAGTTTAAGCTAATTTTTAAGTGTTGTGTAGCATAGGGCGCCGGTCTAGGGATCTGCGCCTATCAGCCTCCTCTATGGAGCCATTTTTCTTTTCGATTAATTAGTGCTTGAGCAGATTCACTAAAATTCTTTTGTTACATCTTAATGCAGAAATTAATAAGTCTGCATTTTTCCAAACTCTTCATAATTCAAACATTTTCCTTTTTTCTATTTATCCCAAATTTACAAATAAAAATGTTGAACAAAAACGCTCAAGATTTTAAGAAACATCTCATAGATGACTTTGTGTTAATTTGATTACACAATTGAACTTACAAATCCAACTCTTTTTTAAAAAAAAAAAATTAGTATATTGAAAGGTTAGATATTTAGTATTATAAAGATTTAAATTTTAAATATTAACTTAAAATTAAAAAATTTAAATTAACGACTATCACAATTCTTCTTTTGATTAAAAAATTAGAATTAACATTTTTTAAAAGCATAATTATTCAATGATCAACGGTCCTGATTCATAGAAAATTGATTTTTTTTTTTTATCAACGATTCATAGGAAATTGATAATGGGCACCACGTTAAAATTTCAATCTTACATCATCTCACTCGTTAGATATAAGATCCTAGCCATGTGTACCCTCATAAAAAATGGATATAAAAGTCTTTCTTGGGCCTTCAAAAATCAAAAGGGATATGGAGAAATTAAATTGAAAAATGATTTAAAAAAATTTTTATATTATTTTTTTATAATTTTACATATTATTTAAATAATTAATTTTTTTTATTTCTTTAAAATTTATAATATTTAATAACATGTGAAATTAATATAAATAAATTATATAAAAATTTGTCCCTTTAAATTTTTACTCGAGGAGTACAAATATTTTTTATTTATATTTACGCGGTAATAATTTTACAACATTTTAAATGAAGAGTACGATTCCCCTCTATTCCATTATAAATACAGTTAATCCCCGCAGCTTCCCTTGCTAGGGAACAAGGAGAGCACAAAATCCTTCCTCAGCTGTTTTTCCTTTTTCCTTCATATTCCACACACACAAATATTAAATGAAGATGGGGTTTTGTGGAAACTTTCTGGAGAGCTCCAAACCCTATTTTGCAATGATCTCGTTGCAATTTGGCTACGCCGGCATGAACATCCTCAGTAAAAAGTCTCTCAACGGAGGGATGAGTCACTTCGTCCTGGTGGTCTACCGCCACGCCTTTGCCACTGCCGCCATCGCACCCTTTGCTCTCATTCTTGAAAGAAGAAGACAACCAAAGATTACATTTCCAGTTTTCATGCAAATTTTCATCCTCGCTCTTCTTGGGTAATTAATTACTTTCCTTAATTTCGTTTGCATGACTTAATTCTGTGCCAAACATTAATCTTAATTAAATAGTAACTAATTAATTATATATATATATATATATACAGACCGGTGATCGATCAGAACTTCTACTATGCCGGACTGAAGTTAACTTCGCCGGCTTTCTCATGTGCCATGAGCAACATGCTTCCTGCTATGACATTCGTCTTGGCCGTACTCTGCAAGTATATATATAATATTAATTAATTAGTTGATATATTCCTATTAAAAAAAAAACCGCCAAATTCATCTTGTTTTTCAGAAGAATATTATATTTATATATATTGTGTTTTGTTTGGAATTATTTATAAAATGAAGGATGGAGAAGATAGATATGAAAAAGGTGAGATGCCAAGCCAAGATGGTGGGAACGGCGTTGACCGTGGCTGGAGCTTTGTTGATGACATTGTACAAGGGGCAAATTGTGACCTTGTTTTGGAGCAAGTACATCCACCTGCAGAACATATCCAAGACTGACATTGCTGCTGCAAACGCCAACCAGAACTGGTACCTTGGCTCCATCCTCCTCATCATCGCCACCCTCGCCTGGGCTTCCTTTTTCATCGTACAGACCAAAGCGTTGAAGACATACAAGGACCACCAGTTTTCTTTAACGACCATGGTCTGCTTTGTGGGCACACTTCAGGCAATTGTTGTGACCCTTGTGATGGAGCACAAAGTCTCAACGTGGCGACCTTCCCAGGTGGACATCATTGCTGCTGCCTATGCTGTAAGTAATTAAATTCTCTATACCTTCATTCGTATAATTAATGCATATATATGGCAAATTAAATACTATATACTTAATTTGTTAATTAATCTGATATATTTTTTAATTAATGCATGCACGCGTAGGGAATTGTGGCATCAAGCATTGCATATTATGTTCAAGGTGTGGTGATAAGGAAAAAGGGTCCGGTCTTTGCCACTTCCTTCAGCCCTTTGATGATGATTATTGTTGCCATCATGGGTTCTTTCATCCTGGCAGAGAAAATTTACCTTGGAGGGTATAATTAATTTCGTCTCAATGAATTGAAAACATACATATCTCATCTATTTACGAATATTAATTTTAATTAATCGAGATAGGCAGATTAATTATTAACCCCATTGAGTTGTTAATGTTGCAGTGTGATTGGGGCAACATTGATTGTAATAGGTCTCTATGCGGTTCTGTGGGGAAAACACAAGGAGAGCAAAGAGAAGGAATTAGCAGAGGTGGTACCTGAACCAGTGAAATGCGTTCAAGAAAATGGAAACACTGTATTGATGATAGAAGATATTGAAGCCAATAGGATTGAGTTGTACAAGGGCGAAGCTAACAAGATATCTGCAGTTGCCGTTAGCATGCCCATCCCAGAACCCATCATGAAAACCAACCAAATGCCATAATTAATAAGAACAATATTGTTCTAGTACGTACCCTAGAGGGAAATATCAAGGGAAAGGATGTACTATATATAGCTTTTTTATCTTTTCATCTCCATTTTGTTTGTAACATTTTTTAAAAATTATAATTAAAGATATGGGATTTATAAAATTTGCAATATTTAAGGAAAAGTGTATATTAACCTCGACTTCAAAAAATAATTGGAGTCTTAACTTTAAAATTACGTCATTTTATTTAATTAAAACTCAATTTAAAATTTAAAAAATTATCTTATTAAACGTTGATATTTAAATTTAAAAATTAATTATATTAAATATACAATAATTTTTAAATTTAAATATCAATATTTAATCAAATGAGATTCTAATTTTTAAATATAAATTAAACTAATACACATTAATCTTATATATATATGTATGTATGTTTAAGTATGGAAGCTAATTAATATGTACTGAATATTGAAAATGAGAGAAGAGGAGAACCCCTATTTCCAGAATTTGAATATTGTGTGGAATTAAGAAGCATAGGAATTTTGAGATCAATTTTACACATGGCAGGAATTCTGACGTCTGAGGTAGATTCCACTGGAGGTTGTTTGGCTAGTGGTATTATAGTTGAATCCTCCTTGGATAGCTTTATGTTCTTCCAAGAATCTCAATCGAATCTGATTCTTTTCCTTTCTTCAAGAACAATTCGTCATCATCAAACAACCAAGATATAGGAAATCCTCATCTTATTTTTTTCTCAAATTTTAACTTTACAAAATGGTATAGATTCGGGTGGCTATACTGATCAGCACAATCACATAATGAAAAGATTATATTCTGCAGAACATAGTTTTTTTTTTTTTTTTTTCATTTTCAAATGGGTATCAATTTTTTTAATCCATTGATTTTTAATTTGAGTAGATTATAAAATTCTTGTTTGGTTGGAGATTAAAAGACTAAATTATTTTTAATGAAACAACACATGTGCCTAACTCGTCAAGAGTACATATTTTGGTCTTAATTTTCTAACTCAAACCTTGCATCTTTTTATCAATCTCAACTGAAAAACGCGATTTTTTTTTTCTTAAAAAAAAAAAAAAAGAAGGGAAAAAGCTGCATGTTCACCACTAGTAACCGATTGAAGCCCACTTGTATTGGTTGCTCCCCAATATGGAGTGAAGATTCAAAGATTCTATCTGAAGTTCCACTGGGGACATTTTGAGAAGGCAAAAGGTGACTAGGTGCTTTCAAGAAAGTATATTTCAAGAAAGTATACACTGATTACTATGGTCTTTTTCCAAGTACCTATATTCTTACTGGAATAAATCCACCATAGTGCCTAAAATATACTGTATTTTTTCCAAACTACCTAATGGTGAACATTTGCTGATCTAAATGTTTAGGGAAAACTGAAATAATATCTCATCAACTGATCACCAATTTATTCCAATGCTCATATTCCAAGATTAATGTCAAGGTTTCTAGATAAACAAGTGTGGTTCTTGATTTTGATAACATGTAATTTGATGTATGTAGAATATGTTTTAAGAGTGGCCGAGTAGTACTGCTTTTATAATATTGCTAAAGATAATATCACATGCACTGTCCTCTCCATCACAGCAGCTTTCATTTCAGTAGTCCGTCTAATCTTATTCTGCTTTCATTACATAACATTACTCAGAACAGAAATTACGTTGATTCTTCATGTTGGATTTTCCTTTTCTACTAGTTTATAAGGTTTTACTTCTAGTTATCTAATTCACTACCAAACCCAACTAGATTCTATTTCTACCTAAGTTACAAGCAAATTCTTCGACAGTCATACCTTTCTCGATCTGTTGAAACATATATAGCAAACTAGAATTCTAAAATGCAATATTTATAGAACTGCAGAGATGTTCAAAATTTATATATCAAAGATTCTTCGCTGGATATATATACATATATACATACATACATATATATATAGATATGTGTGTGTATATAAGATCAACTTTGCAATTAATTTATTCTACAAAATGATTCTGAGAATAGCCACCTAACATGTTTATACCCTGTAGAATCTACTTTGTACGTATCTTTTACAAATATCTAGCACAATTACAAATTAAAGAGAATAGAAATTATCTATAATAAATGAGATTAAGAAAATGAACTTCTTGAAGTGGAGATAAATGATAATAACAACAGCATAAAGCTTAGTTGGCACAAACAATCAAATGTTAAATCCTAATGGAGAGTTGATTAAAGATGTTAAATCGAATCTGCTGATCCCCATATGTAAGACTCCATTGTTCCACTTAATAATAGAGACTCAACAACCCTAAATCCCCATCACTTAATAGATTATTTCTAATGGATTCTTAATCATTAATGACCACTTCACCCGAGGCACAGATGTTTCTCTGTTTCTTTTCCCTATACCAACTCTCAATTATTTACTCAAGTTTCCAAGTAGATAACTTGATACCTGACAAAATATAGATAACTAAGAATACTTTCACAAATAAGTGTTTGTTTAGGTGGCCTAACTTTCCTAACTTTAATATTTTATACCCAATTACAGAATTTGATTTGTTGTGGAATATTGAGATTTCGGTAAAGATGGATCTCTCTTTTCCCCTTTCAGTTTTCTTATAATTCCTCTTCACCTTTTCTTAAGTGGAGGAAGAGGAGACAAATCATTTGATAAAGCTCCAAAACAAATTATTATCCTATGGTATCATTATCCATCAAGGATGATGTAACCTATAATATAAGAAAAGAATTTATACCTTTAGATGTCATTAATTCTTAGAGGATTTTCATATCAAAGATTCACAAACATTCTATTCTAGCATTTTTATCCAATACACATGATAGAGAAATATCAAGAGAAAGAACTAAAGAATGTAAGCATGATTTTGTATGGTTGCTACTAAAGAATGTAAGCATGATTTTGTATGGTTGCTACTAAAGAATGTGAGCATGATATTGTGTAGTTGCTATTTGTGTTGGATCTGCAATATACAGCTTTACCACCTACCATTCTTGAAAGTGAAAAGTAATAAGTGGCCAGTGATACCTTGGGATAATGCATCGACAAAGCACACTAACTCAAAAATAATGTTCCTCTTATGTTTTGTTTGTGTTGTCTTTGAGCAGCATCACAATAAAATCAAGAACCCAAAAAGTAGTGATGTTGGCTATGCTATCATAGGGCAATTATTGAACCCAGCAAAACACCATTGTTTCTCCAACATTGTCAGTCAGATTTAAAGGTATCCTTACTTTCACTTCTAATTGAAGAGAAACTACTTCAACTTGAAGTCTGCACCTAAACTAAAATCTGTGCTAAGTCAACTAGAAATTTGAAAATGAAGCAGTTCATCATGGAAGCTTTGTGCATGCCACTAGTAAAGTTCTCTCCAATGACTGTACTAGAAAATAAATAATTGTAGTCAAAATTGCTTCTTTTTTTTCTTTTCTTTTTTTTGGGACAAAGATGTCCTTGTTGCTCCTTGATCACATGCGAAAAATTGCAATGAAATAGAATGAAGAAATTTACACTGAGATCCTAAAAAAAAAAAGATGGGGCTACCTACCTCTAGCAACCACCATGATCCTTTGGAAGAGCAAGAGAATTTGAGGGCATAACATTATTAACCCTGCCACTTTCTCTATGTTCCTTCGTGCAAGAAATCCCACCCTGCCTTGTGCAACCAACTGGGGTTCAAACCATGCTGTTAGCACTTGTGCTCTGACCTAGTGGCTGTGGTTTTCGAGCCAAAGAGTGCCTCTTGTTCTGCCACAGGGTTTCTGCTCCTGCAAGACAATGAAAGCAATAATTGTGTGTGTGTAGGGTGGGCGGGGGGATAGGGGTGTGGAGTTTAGACGGTAAAAGGCTTCAATGCAGCTGATGGATGGATGATAAACAGAGACCACTTAATCCATAAATAGAGACATGTACACATATAATTAAGCCATATCCAAGATCTATGCTTCTCCTCCTCTCTCCTGTTGTAGCAGACTATATCCCCCCAACATATGAAGGAATGGAGCCTGTAATAAAACAATGGCTTTGAGACAGAAACCAACATAAATAACTCAATTTAACTCAAACATCAATGAAAAAATAGATCAGTCACCTCGTCATATAAAAAGGGGATTCCTTTCTCCATCTCCCACACCTTTACTTTCATGGTTAAATTTTCAACCATGGCTATATAAAGAAGAAAAAAAAAGGATGATAAGGCAACTGCCATTTTGCCCATAAATGAAAATCCATTTCAATAAATTAGAAAATTTATGGTGCCAGAATACTCTCATTTTCAGATTTCTGTTCAATTTGTTTTAGCACTTTGACACAAGAATACTTTCAGCAAACCAAGAAAGTCTCCTCCACAATGTTTCTTGTTTATCATAGTCTATAGTTAAATTGAAAGCAAACAGTATATATAATTTCATTTTTCATGGGTAGAGATCTAAGAAACTTTTACTTGCAGTTACAGTGATATAATCCTCAGAGTGCTGGCTTGTAGCAAACTATAATAATTTCCTTTAAGCTTCAGTGCTAGTGATCAAAGTTCAATTTGCTCAGAGAAGAAAATTAAAAAGAGTAAACAAAAAGCCTCATCTTTGTCAACTCTCCATGTCTACACCATCAGCCAGTTAAGTTTCTAGCCTCTAATAAGCATTTTTCTTGTATTCTGATTCATGAAACAAAATCAAGGAAATATATCTTGAAAGATTAGTCATGTTGCAAGATAAATGTAAGCTTACTTGTTATTTCACCGACCAAAATCCTTGCTTTCTCTGCACATTTCAGGTTTTTGTGGGCTCCTCTTCCTTCACTATACCGATTTTCATCCTGAAGAAAAGAAAAATTAAGAATCAATAACAAATAGCCCCTCCCATAGGAAGAATCAATCTGCAAGTGGTAAACAGCATGACCATAAATGAATTGAAAGCCAGCAGTAGTATTAACTACATTTTTAATAAGGAACAAATTCAGACTGAAATCAATGTAATATAAAATTTTGATATCTCAGAAACTTTAAGGTATCAGCATATCAACCATTAAGACAACATCTACTCCTCATATAAAACCTCTTAAGTATTTTTTGTTTTGGTTTTTGTTTTCTATTTTGTTTATGAGAGCCTGGAAAATCAAGACGTTCTGGCACTAAGGACGTCCATCACAACCATCCATTGAGTGAGTCCCAGGGGTAGGGTCCACTCACGGATGGCTGTGACGGACGTCCTGAGTGCCAGGACGTCCTGATTTTCATATTTCTGTTTATTTATTTATTTATTTTATTATTATTATTATTGCTATAAAAGCTCTTAAGTGTTAAAGAGAATCAACCTTGGCATCTTTGAAAATACCCCTGTAAAACATGATTGCAAAAAACCACTTATAAGCTGCAAACAGTCAAATAGTTTCTCAATAATATTTACCATTTCATACTCTTCAAGCCACTCTTCCTCCTCAGATGCATGTTTCCATTTCTCTGCCTTTCCAAAATATCCTTCCTGCTTAAAGCTTCTCATTTGGCTTTTGCAATCTGAACATCCATGCTTGATACCAGATCAGGCAGATTAACATTACCTTTGAAGCACATTTTGGGAGAATTATCAGAACAATTCACAAGAAGGGCATGTGTCCCCCCTGAATGCTTTGTTGTGCTTTGTTACGGATTCATGAAGAAGGCCCACAACCACAGTGCAAAATGAAAATTCAGAATCAAGCAGAAAAGTATAATGAGGTAAACGATCATAATAGAAGCTATAAACAGATTCTGAGGCTCATAAGTATCTGTTGTGCTGCATCACTAACTACATCCCTATGAACCCTTTTGTAGATTTCTTCAAACTCATTTTGCTGCTTGAACACCAACTCTTTCACCTTGCTTGCTTTGAAAACATTCAACCCCAATCTAACAATGAGAATAAAGATGACAGATTAGAGCCAAAATACAACAATCTCAGAAAAATGGCAGCTAAAAGAATAAACAATTACCACTGGCTCAATGACATCAAGACCAAGGGAACCTTGCCTAGAGACTTCATCAAGTAAAAACAAAATCTTTAGAGAACTTGTTTATCTTGTATTAGTGAATTAACCACAGTTATTAACATAGCAAGAGTACCATTGCCGATACTTTTCGATTGACCATTTGCAGGATTGATCAAGCTTGGATGAATCTCATTCACTGTCTTTAAGAAATCAAGTGACATCACAAATGAAAGAACTTGAATGGTGTTAATATGGCTGTTAGCTTTCTGTAACCAAATAACCTTCAGACAAAGTAAAAGAAGGTGTAAACTTCACAATCATCAAGAAGCCAGAGCACTTGCAGCATTATAAGAGTACCGTTGCAGAATCACAGAAGTAACTTCTCATCCTGAAGCTCCTGGAGGTATGACTTGAGCTCCCCTAATTTCCTCACTGTCAAATCAGATTCATTAGCTTGTGCTTCAGCACCTTTATTATACATACCATTACCTGCTATTTCTAAACAGATTTGATTAATCTGCGATAGGGTTTCATGAAATTCCTTGATCCTCTTTTCCTTTCGTCACATCAAATTATCAAAAAACAGATTTTAAAGCAGATAACTGCTGATTCTGATTTAGCATGCCCTTTGTCTATTTCTCAAAATAATCAAACCCTATAACAAAATTTCAAACTAAGATAATGTTTTCAGAATAGCTAGCATTCTCCCACTCCCACTACGTTTTATGCATAAGATACTAATCTTCCTATTAATTTAATAATTTTCTCTTGCCAAATCCTTTTTTTATTTTTCTTCCTATGGTGAACAAAAGAAAAGAAACGTTACAAGAATGACAATAGAAGCAACGCCACAAAACACAAACCCGTGATAAGGAAGCATATCCCCCAAGTACAGAAACAGGGTGAGCTATTTCTGCTTCAGCTTCAGTCAGGGATCGATTCAAATCAACCCCGTGCTTTCTAGTCATTTCAACCTTTTTCCGGTAAATATTAAAGCATTCTTGCTCTAGTTCTAGAAGCATCTTGTCTCTTTCAATATCACTCTCTCCAATTTCATCCCACAACATCTACAAGAACAGAAATACTCCTAAGCACATAATACAACACATAAAAAGATAAACAAAATAATATTCAAAACAGCAAATAATTTTGGAAGAAACAATCCACCAGAAACCTCAAATCCGGTTGCTGTTTAAATGTTTGCCTAATTTTATAGTACTAAACTCGAAATCAAGCAGGAAATCAATCTAACACAAACCTACAGAAGGTACTGTTAGCCAAGAACCATCAACAGAAAACTTCAATTGAACTTGATTCTAACTGTTAGGCTACTTCTATAGTAATAAACTCGAAATTAAACAGAAGATTAATCTATAGTAATGAATCAATCAAGCGACGGCAGCTCAAAACAAGAACATAATACTGAAACTCAGTGAATCGAGAAGAGAACCTGCAATTCGCGGAGGAGAGAGCCGCAAGTGGTGGTCTGAGAAGGAGGAGGCGGAAGGCATTTCCGAAGAAGACACGATGCAGTTTTCGAAAAACTCGAAACGCTAGAAGAGATAGTAATCGGAATTCGGAAGCGACGACCAAAACGAGCGTATCTCAGATTGGCCGATTTTGTGCCCTGTTACTGTACATTTTTGGGGAAAAAAAAAAAAAAGAAAAAAAATTGAAATTATTGCTGAGGCAACTGGGGAACTTTTGGCGCGGAAATGCATCCCACAAAATGTCCCAATTTTAATAGAAAATGT